TCTCTCTCTCATTTCTCTCATTTCTCTCATTTCTCTCATTTCTCTGAATCTGAATTGGATTTCTGACGAACTGAGTTTAAGCCAGCACCCCTCCAGCCTCCCTGTGACCTTTCCCAGGTGAGTGGGTCCTGAAGGTGCCACCTGGGTTCCCTCTGGGGACCTTAGCCCAGAGGAACTTTCTGCCAGGCTGCTGCTCCCTAGAGAGCTGACTGATGCGAAGGCCCTGGGCGCCCTCTGCTGGCGGAGGCCGCGCAGGACGGCCATCACCCAGGTGGCCTTTGAAGGGACCTGGTCCTGAGGGAACTCCCTTAGTCTTTGGTGTTGCTGTCTTGTCATCCTCTGTTTTGTCCTCGCCACTTTCCCAGCCTCCCACACTGGCCTGCGCACTCCCACCTTCCATCTTCTCCCTCTTTCTCAGGTGCTTCCTCAAGACCCTCCCTGATTGCTGGAATCTCAGGGGTCAAACCTTCCTCCAAGACGGGGCATCACGAGCTGGGCTCCCGGCCATCCTGACACCGGGCTGCCTCCTGTTGTCCCTTTGGAGTTGGATTTGCCCCCGGAGGCAGGGGGATTGGAGGAGAGAGGCATGGGGGTGGAGCGGTCTCCCTTGCTCTCCGGTTATAAAAACACTGCCAGAGAAGATCTGAAATGGGGACCCAGGTTTGCAGGTAAAGCAAAGGTCAGCCACAGCACATCTAGGTGACACGTGGAGACAAACAAGCAGGGCTCCACAGACAGATGGGGCAGGCCCAGCGAGGCACACAGTAGCACGCTCAGTGTACAGGTGTGCACCTGGAAACTCACCATCATGCACGCGCATGCCCGCAGACAGTCCCAGGCCCAGTCCTACATTAGCTCATCACGTTTGCAGACACACAGACCTGGGTTCAAATCCCAACTCTGCCACCTCATCACTCTGCACCTTATTTTCTGTCCTCTGTGAAATGAAGATAATAACTACCTTGCAGGTTGCTGTGAAGATTAAATGATAAAATGGATGCAAAGTGCTTAGCTAGATCCTAGCAGATTATAAGATTTCAATAAATAAATAGTCAGAGATGACATTGGTGATGATTATGATGATGATGATGGTGATAAAGATGCTGAAGATGGGATTATGTCTCCTCTTCTGGACTCTGACCTGCTCAGGGGTCAGACGTGGAGAAGGTGTGGACTAAATAGATGAATTGATGGTGAGCTTCGCAGGTGCCTGGGGTGGGGAGTGTGGGATGCGGGATGCAGATGGGAAGGTGACAGGCCACCCGACAGCTTGCACAGCTCCTGGTGAACTGCCCGAGACCCAGGCTCCCAAGGCATTGCTTAGCACTGCATACTTTTGTTTTCCTCTTTCTGATCTTCATTTCAAGGTTGCAAATCCCAGGTGACAAATGAAGTGATAAATACCCCTTTGCCAGACTGAAACTGTAGTTAGTGTCTCTAACTCTGAGGACCTCTGAGTCTGAAGAGACCTCAAAAGTCAGATTTTAGTACAGAAATGCCGTCGATACCATCCAGGCCAAGTGGCTATCAACTTTCCTGCTCACACACTCACAGAAACAGGAGGCTCACAACCTCTCTTGGCAGGCTGCTCTGTTTCTCAGCAGGTCTACTGTCTGGAAGACTACAGCCTGCCTCCCTGTAATGCATAATTACCCACCCCTCTTAAGACTACTTTTGTTCAGGGTTCAGTCCCCGGAGGTCACCCTGGTTCTGTAGAAGCGCCTGGAGAATTAAGGCAGGAGAGAGACTAGCCTGGGATTTGGGGGACCTAGGTTTTGAGTACAACTCGGCGATTATTGTTGAGCAAGTCACTGCCCTTCTCTAGGCCTTGGTTTCCCCATCTGTAAAAGGGGGATTTGGGTCCAAATGTTCTCTTAGGGTCCTCCCACTTCAACTAACACCCATTCTATCAAAACTTTCTCCAGCTCAGCCTCGCCCGCTTTGTCTGCAAGCCCCCCATGCTGCCCTAAGTTTCCTCACAGCCTGATTCCCCATCGTCACTGCTAATGCACGGGGACCTCAGCAGCCAGATAGACAGTTTATAGAGCAGCAGACTGGGTCTTAAGCCGTTGGCAGCTTTAGCCCATTGAGTGTTTATAACTACCCTGAGATCTCACTTATAGACAAAGAAACTGAGGTTCTGAGAGGACCAGTAGCTTGTGCAGCTCATATGTGGTTGGCCAGATTTGGAGCCCCTGCTGGCCAGATTCTAGAGCCTGTTTAGCCCTGTGTTCTCAGCGCTGGGATTCAGGGAGCCAGCAGGAGTGCAGCAGAGCCGCCTCCCCGCTCATGAGTCTCTATTCTGACCACAAGCTTCCTGCCTTCTTGCCCCACAGCCCCTAGAAGCCTTCACTTCCTCAATGTCGCAGTCTCTGTGCTCCTCTCTGCAGGGAGAACAACTTCATCAAGGACTTTCCTCAGCTGGCCGATGGGCTGTTGGTGATCCCGCTGCCTGTGGAGGAGCAATGCCGGGGGGTCCTGTCCGAGCCCCTCCCGGACCTCCAGCTGCTCACTGGTAAGACATACATATGGACCCCTTCCCAGCCACCCTGGCCTCACACCTGATCTCCAGGTGCATATCCGTCCTCAGCACCTCCAAGATGGGCCTCTCCAGGCCTCCCCCTATGTGACGTATGGGGTTCCAAAGGGACCTGCCATTTCTTGGGCCCCTACTATGTGCTGTGATGTGCAGCGCTAGGGATTCCCCTGAGACCGCAGGCTCTGAGCCCAGGCCAGACCTCCTCTCTTAGCAAATTGCAAGCACCCACCGGAGTGTCATTAACTGTCGTCTCCACGCTGCATATTAAATCTCCAGAACTCACTCATCCTGCATAACTGAACCTGTGTAGCCTCTGACGAACATCTCTCCATGCCCCCGACCCCCCAACCAGTCTACTCTCTGCTTTCACAAGTGCAACTTTTTCCAGATTCCCCATGTAAGTGAGACCATGTGGTATTTGTCTTTCTGTGGCTGGCTTGTTGCTCAAGGTTCATTTTTAAAATATTCTAAAATAAAATCAGTGGACCCACCCCCAACCAGAAGCCACGCTCATTTGAAAGCACTTCCGTTGCACAGCTAATTTTGAATGTGGGTGCTGAGCTATCCTGTGGGGGGTGGGTATGATTTTTTCCCATCTTATGGATGAGAAATCTAGACTCAGAGAGGTGAAGGACCGGCCCAAGGCCACACCGCAAATCTGTCAGGACTGGAACCAGGTGCCATGACTCCAGGCCTTCTGCCCTTTTCACTCCACTCTGCAGCTTACTCTGTCCTTTACTGGGAAGTTATCTTTTGCAGGCTCTCCTGCTGCTCCGCTGTTTCTATCCCATCCCACAATGCCCCTCTTCTCCCAGTTCCTCTCCTACCCTTTCCTTGGGGACTTTCCTAAGGTGTAAGGACCCTGGCTCTGCCTCCGTGACATAGTAGTTGGATATCTTAACCACTGCCCAGGGAGAGTGGTCAGCCTGATGGATGAGCAAGCCATCTCATTGAGAGGGACATTGTCCCCCAGGGAAGACCCTGAAACATAACTGACTTAGGTTTCATTCCCCTCTATCTCTTGCAAGCTCTTAACAAACCTTGCACAAGTCATCTGATCTCAGACAGGGGAGAACCCGCATGTGTTAAGAGTCTCCTGGGGGCCAGGCATTGTGCACGGGTTAATCCAAGGGTGTCATTGTCCCCTTTTAAGCTGGTTAAAGAGATCATTGAACTCATCCAGGGTCACATGGCTAGTCCAAAGTCGAGTCAGGATTTAAACCCAGTCGGTCTTGACTGCAAAGCTGATGCTGTATCCACTGTCCTACGTCATCACCTCCCTGACCTGCCCTACTTTGAAGAGGGGCCCAGATGTAGATCATAGGAAGTGGGTGGGTAAGTGCTTTGTAAAATGTGTCTAAAATCGGCCGTGCCTTCCTTAATTTTCATTTTTCATAAGATCATAGAATTATATGGACTGTGAAGGGCAGCTAGTCGATTTCTCCTTACTGGTGAGGAAATCAGGTCTACAGTATCCCTACTGAGTGATTTTCCCTCTTGCATACCCCCAGTGACGGGGAGTTCACCACCTCCTAAAGCCGCATTGCTCTGGTCTGTGGAGTGATGCTCTGCTCTAATGGAAAGGACCCTGGATCTGTCACTGATTGTTGTGTGTCCTTAAGCAGGTCCCCTCTCTGAGCCTCTGTTTCTCCTTGAAAAGTGGGATGTAACAATTATTTTTCTGGATTATGGTGAGAATTGGAGATCATGGATATAAAATGCTTGGTACATTGTGGTTCCACGTGAGTGCTATGAATTGTTAGGGTTATTTGGTTTGTTTTGAAGGTCTTTGGAGATTTCTTAACAAAGAAGCTGTTACATTTCAAGAGTTAATTTGTTTTGTAATTACCAGAAAAAAATATCTTCCCCTATCCCATAGCTGTATTCTACCCCTAGTCCCTGGGTGGAGATCTAGGATGGAGTAGGGTAAGACGGGGGTCAGGCATGGGTTTATGAAAGTGAATGAGTGAGTGAGCTAGTAAATTGTTATGTATTGAGAGCCTGCTATGTACCAGGCTCTGTTCTAGGCTCTGAAGAACTGGGAAAATACAGACCACAGCCTTGTTCTCAAGAAGCTGACATGGCACTGGAATCCAGGAAGGACCAGGGATGGGGGAGTGAAGGATGGAGTGATAAGCACTTACGGCGGAGGCCCAGGGATGCGGTGAGAGGCAGAGAGGATGGTTTGAGAAATTTCTTAACAGCCAGAAGAAGTCGTATTTTTTTTCTCTCTTGGATGCCATGCCACCAAGTGGATGAGCTATGTGAACAGCCTGTATTCATATGTTCTGCCTCCCTCCTCTGGGAAGCAGCCCCGCTGGCCGGCCCCCCTTCCAAGCCTGTTCTGAATTAGGACAAGTGCGAATAAACGGGCAGAGGCTGCCTGGGCACTGGTGTCTAGTCTTCCTGGGCAGGCTGTTGTCTCTGTCCTGACTCGACACACGGCCCTCTCCTCGGCCTCTGCAGAGGAAGAACAGGACAGGCAGAGCAGATAAACCCAGAGGACATATTTAGAACAAAACAACCTCGCTCCAGTGGATGCATCTTTGGGGATCATGAATATTTTACTTTAAAAAAAAAGCCTCTCAAAAAATTATATTATTCCTGAAAAGGCTAAGGAGGGGGGAAAAAAATTGACAGTAATGGACAACTTTAATACTGCGGTAATGTCCAGGAGGAAATCACTTGTTCCAATGAGATTCTCATTTTAATCTCGGTATCAAATATCTCTTTAAGCACTTCCTCACCAGGGGGCAAAAGAAAAGGATAGAAAATGTGCCTGCCATTTGCAGAGAAGTCATAACAACAATAATAATAACCGCCGATGTGACTAGCCTTTCTCTTTCATGTATTTTTTCCCTGATTATAAAGAAGAGAATTTGAAACGCTCAGGGTAGGAAATGTAGACAATGGAGATGAATATAAATCAGGAAAAAAACAATCTTTTATACACCCACCCCCCCCAGAGTTAACCACTTGCTAAAATTTCGTTGTGTTCTTTTCTTTCTTTATTTTTTCTTCTATACTTGTGTTTCCCCAAAAAGTGTTCTATGGAATGTGAGTTGTAGTGGGCCCTCTGTACAAAAGGGGTTCTGTGCTCAAAGAAGTTTGCAAAATACCGCACACTAAAAAAATCGTGTTTAATTTTGTTTAGCCAGTGTTTCTCCATCTTACCTGAAATGGAAACCTGTTATGTATGTGCCCAGGCATTTTGTGATGCCTATGGCCATCTCATGTTTCCATGGTACGAAACAGTGGTCTATACAGGGGTCGGCACACATAAAGGGTCAGGTAATAAATGCATTAGGCTTTGCCTGGTCTCTGTGGCAGCTGTTGAACTCTGTGTCATCCTATGAAAGCAGCCATAGACAATATGTGATAAGTGGGCTGCAGTTTGCTGGCCCCAGCTTCCATGTACAGCATGTCTAGTTACTAAACAGCTCTCACTTCTATTACCTCACTTGAGTCTCACCACCTGCCTATGGAAGTAAGCTCAGCCTAGGTAGCTGCAGTATCAGATGGGGAAACTGAGGCCCTGAGGTGTCTAGTTTCCTGTGACAAGGTGCCAACGGGGACAGATGGGACCAAAGCCCACTTTTATTTGTAGGGTAAAGGGATCTTAAAAGCTGTTGGGCAGAGAGAAAAAGCAGGGGAGGGGCCCAGAACAGAGGCCAGGTCGAGGCCTGAAATTGGGGTCCAGATAGAGCTCTTGGACCCAGCAAGAGCCCACACTCTGAGGCCGAGCCTCTGCCTACTTAGAAGAGGTGGCCATTATCCCAAGCCCGGGGCTGCAGGGCAGAGGGTGTGGCTGGGAGCCTCTGAATGCTGGGCTCACGTGACCTTTCTATTCCCTCCCCCAGGAGACGTCAGATATGACGAGGCCATGGGTTACCCCATGGCGCAGCAGTGGAGGGTCCGCAGTAACCTCTACCGCGTGAAGCTCAGCACCATCACACTCTCAGCAGGTGAGGACCACCGCCCGGGCAGCCAGGGCACTTGGTGGAATTCAGCACACGTTCCCAAGGACCCATGTGTGCTGGCACGGGGCATGCTGCCATCAAGGAGCTCACGGGGAAGGCAGATGGACGAGCAGACAGACGGTGACATCTGCACACTGCTGTAGAGACAACGCAATAATGGGACAGCGGCGACACAGAAGAGGGAGCTATCCATTCTGGGGGGTCAGAGCAGCTTCCTGAAAGAAGGAGAGTCTGAGCAGGCTGCAGAAGGATGGATGGGAGAGAGGGGATACAAGACAATCTAAGCCACACTTATGGTCTTGAAATATCTCAGGTTTGTGGGTTGTAAATTCTCAGGCACTCATTCCTCTGGTCTCTCCTGGCTGATATGTTTTCCTGCCCATCTCCTGTAGAACAAGAACATATCACCTCTCCCAACAGACACACACACACACACACTCACACACTCACACACACGCGCGAGCATCGCCCATCCTTAAGCACATGAAGCCCGAGCCCCAGCAGATGGCGACAATTCGTATGGCGACAGTTCTCAAAACGGGACATGTTCTTCCATGCCTCTGTGACTTTGCACATGCTGTTCCCTCTGTCTGGATCTCCTTGCCCAGGGAGCGCACCCTGAAACACTCAGAGACACCGCCCGTGTTCTCCATTCACCTCAGGAGAACTCCAAAATTCCCTGTGGGCAACTACCTATATGAAAGCCCTAACAAGTGCCTGATTTGTGTCTGAATCATTTCTGTCTCTGCTGCGGTGACCCGAGGCTGTGGGTAGGGTTTGGGTCCTATATTCCTGTTTTCTCTACAACTAAGAAAGAGTCAGCACATTATTGGAGCTTGTGTTTGATGAAGGAATAAAATAAATGAATGAATGAATGAAAAGTGAAAACTAAGAGATTAGTGAAATCCTCTAGAAAGATGGGGCCTGGCCTAGGTTTTCCACCCTTACTCACAGCACTGCCACTGAGTTAATTGTCCGGGTGCCTCCTCAAAACGTACCAGCTCTCTTCTTATCTTTTCTTTTTCGATATCACTTTGCTCATGAGCATGGTGGAGTGCTTTTAGCCTTGGAAGTGGGAGACATCACCCTCTGAGAAGTACAACTAGTACTTATTGCTGCCATCGGCCAGCACTTTATAACGCTTTCCATCTTAGGACTTACGTCCGTCCTTGTGAGGCAAGGAAGGTATGATGTATTCCATCTTTTTTTTCTTTTAGATTAGGAAATGGAGGGTCAGAGACGTTAGGTAACTTGCCCAAGATCACACAGCTAGTGAGTGGCAGGTCAGGAACGGACCCAGGATCCGATTGCCGTTTTGTCTGCCTGGGTAAAGAGCCACTGGGCATGCCCATGGTGCTGTGATTTATTGTAATACTCACCAGACTCCATCTCGTCATTAACGCTGCTGTATTAATTATCCAGTTGCACGAGTTAACAGGTTGATGGAGAAAGGTGTTTCCGATCAAACGCGCGTGCTTGGAGCCCTGTTTCTGTTTTCCCCGCCATCCGCGCTTGTGAATAAGACTGTGATGTTCCTATTAGAACTACAAAGGTGGATCCGCTTTAATTAATCAGTAACGATGCTCCCGGGAACCCTCTTGTAAATCAACTGTTGGCAAATTGGAGCTCATTTTTAATGTGGAGAAAGAGCTTGCTCTTCTACATTTTACTTCGATGCGGCTCAGAATTGGCTGTCTTGTAATAATGGTGACTGGTGTGCCTGCCGTGTCCCGAGCTGTGGCATGTACCTGGCTGGGGTGGGGGTAAGGAAGGAGGCCTGTGTGCAGACAGAGCTTGTGCTTTCAAGGGGTGAGTGTTGCAGTTGTGGAGATGGTGGGAGAAAGGCTTCTTGGGG